GTAACCGTGCGGTAACGGTGTCCCACTCATACGAAATCCGCTCTATATTCATTAGAGTTGAAAATGTACAGCGGTCGTCTTTTTGAGTTTTGTGGCAGTCGTGAACATTTCTTAACAATTTTTTAAGTATTTTTCTCACCCAAAGTTATCAATTGACTTCGATGCCAAATCTTGGAGTAATACAGTTACATGTAAGAGCCAGTATATAATCCTGGTTTCCCTACGGGCTAAAACGTTCATTTTAAGCCTCCTTCTTACACGACTTTCAAAAATCGYGGTAGTTCACCACCGCCAATATRGGGGGACTAATGACGAACCATGAAACCGAGACTTCAAAGGCCTTACATTTTAAAATCACTACAAAGATCGCATATGGGAGGKGTCCAAAAGTTTGAAARATSTATTGGTATGTTATTTATAACAAAACACTCTTCCAAGGCACCATCGAAGTTTAATATACGGAGGCTGGCCTYTGAGACCTCGTTTTAGTGCTTCGTCCCCAGTGCCCTGGTCAGCGACCGTAACATATCGCGCCATTTTTGAAAGTCGTGAGAAACTTATGAAGCTACGACCATCATTCTTATCTTGAATTTTACTTGCTTTAAAAATCTTGGCGTAAGATTGTTTTTTCTTTCAATAATCAATTCCTAAATGTTGCATGATGTGAGCGGTGGATCCCTTCATCCAGTGTTGGATCTCTTAATCGTGCGAATGCAGAAACTGGTGAAACTCTTCAATCTGAAAGCAAAGCAAGATAAAACGATGAAATTGCATTATTAAAAGAGTATTATATTAGGACAGGTCTTGCCTACCATTTTGATTCCTTTAGCTGTGACAATCGTTGGCCTAACGCCTGGGTAGGTAGCAGATAGAATGAATACCTTAGAAGGCGTCGATGGTGAAACAAAGGCTGGAGTGATTGTAATTTCGTTTGTGTATTCTTGTATAGAGTGGGTTGATATTGTATCTAAAGTAGAATTTGCATTTGGGATAAGGGACGGTGATAGTTTTGGCGTATGGGTAGAAACTGATTTTGAATATGAAGTTATAGAATGTGTGATGTAGGTGGATATCGTCTTTGAAGTAGCAGTTGTATCTGTGTCTGATGTCGGTGATAGCTTTGCTATATCAAGGGATCCGTCTTGGTTATAACAGTAACTGTTCGATTCTTTTCTGATGAAACTCACTGCTGCATTCGGTTTCTTGATGAGTTGAACATCTAAATAAAAGAAATTGAGCTAAAATGACAAAACAAATTGAGGAGAAAACAGCTAAACAAGGAATAAACTTGTGACGAAATAACGAACGAAATCTGTTTTGAACAATATATTGTTAACTTTTTTAAATATTTTCTGTTATAGTACATTCAATTATGATAAGAAAATTTAAAAAAATATTTATGATATTTTGTATTTTCAAAACTAAAATATGGTATTTCTATCAAAAAAAATTATGGAATGAAAACCAACATCAAAGAAATAACTCAAATGAAAGGACATTATGTTTGTAACGCGTCTTTAATTCATATTACTCCTCTCAAGTACCAAGCTTGAAACGTGATGACCAGTATTGATTTGATTCTTCGATTCAAATACAGTAAAAACCCGCGTATAAGAACAAGTGGATTAAGAACACCCAGGCCTGATTTTAGGAAATAAAGTATCATTTATATAAGAACACATTCAGCCTGAAAAATGAAAGTTGTTCTTATATGGAAAAATATCAAAGATCAACACTACTTTTCGTTGCACACATAATAGTTCCACCCCAATTATATGTAACAAATGTCAAAGAAAATAAAAGTATGTATTCAGTCCTGAAAAAGCTTATGATATTTAGATATTTGATTATGCGTGTATAATATGTAGTGCATATGTAGGGTATGTTGATTTCATCTATTGGTAGCCTAGTATGTTCAAAACATTTTTTAATAACACTTAAGAACACTTACAGGCTGATTTTGCAGATTATAACCCTTTATATAAGAACCAAATCAGCCTGAACCGTCATAATAGGTGTTCTTATACGTGGGTTTTTACTGTACTCATTATACAAATGAGGTTCTAAATATTCAAAAATATTCAAACATGCAAAAACGAATAGATTAGATAGAAATGATGTGTGCAACGGTGATGGCTGCACATGATCAGTATTTTAAAAAGTTGACTAATCAAACTTGATAATGAATATTTGAATCAAATCACTAATATAATGGAATAAAGCATTCGTCGATAGTTTCCACGTGTTCACGCTTCAGGTAGTTTGATTGTAGTTCATCGCGCTTTAGAGCTCCGTATTCCCTACATACTTATCATTTCGAGTTATCACATTGAATTTCACTTTTATGATTAATATTATTATCACTATAGCACGGCATCCTTGCATATTTTATAGATATAGACAAAATGGTGGTAAGTAGCGGTAAACTAGTTTGAGTTAAACTAGTTCCGGTGTTTCTAAACAAACAGTTGTGTAAAAAGATAAATTTAACACCWTAAATAAGTATGTGAAATAACTTACTGACGTTTCGGACGTTAAATCTTCGTCGGAGTAAAGAGGATACAGACAGATTGATAGAATATAGCTTATTATAGTTTGTTCTTAAATATTTTTATTATTGTACGTATTTTAAGTTACCTGAAGTATTTGCCGTGGATAAATAACGTTATTAAGTTATAAAGTTAAAGTTAAAGCTTATGCAGTTATAAAAAGAACTATATCAAAACATTACGAGTGACTATTAAACACTCATATACAACTGCTTTACATTGCGAGMCGAAGCGCAATTTTACGTGGGGCGAATTCGTATCTTTTACTATACTAAAAAATCTTGATAAAACTGACACTGAAAAATACCACTAAATACCAACAATTCTACACTAACCTAGAAGTAGAACGAGTAAGATAACGTGGATGCGCAGACGCTTAGCTCCTGTCATCGTAATTCAAGATATTCTCTTGTAGATTTCTTGAGGGGGTGATAGCAATGAATAAACATTAGTTAACATTAGACTTTTAGCGGGGTGGGGGAGGTCCAGTTGGTGCAAGATTTTTTTTGGACTACAGGCGTGCGCTTGCAATTTTTTTGCAATATGCTGTCTGTTAATTTGGTTGGATATGTTCCTTCTCGTGAGAAAGGAATGACGGTCTCAAAAAGCTGCACTTGCACTGCACTGCAGCTGCAGTTGCACTTAGGCCTCGATAGCAAGTTAATTATTCTTTTGAATTTGACAATGAGACTATTCACGCATATCATYTGTTTGCATTGCTCACATTTCTACAAATTCAAAAGAATATTTTTATTTTATTATATATTCTTTATATTTTTGTATTGTCAGAGTTCGGGATGTGAATTTAATTTTGCATTAATCAACTGAAGTTTGAAAACCGTGACGAAAAATTAAATGARAAATCCAATAATGCATAAAATAACGAGCTATTCGAGGGGAGGGGGGGGGGGCACGCTTCATGTCTTTTGACTGTAACTCTCTTTAAGTAATGCCCCGAGTAAGAACTAGGGAAGCAAACGGCAAAGGAATGCAAGAAGGTGCTAATTGTGCATTGTATAATCCATCCATCCCATCCCATCCCACTTTGTTTCAAAATAGAGTTTATCCACATTTTATTTCAAAAATGTGTTACCCATAGGTTGATATATAATCAGTGTGAAAACCAAAACATTCGTACGTGGGAAAGTTGCAATTGCCGCAGAACAATAGAGAGTTCACTAGTTCGTAAGCGCATTGTTACTTAAAGTTATTCCATCATGTAGAGTAAGTTTTTAAACTTAAAAAAAAAGTTAAAACTTCATCGGTGGATTATCCGCACTCCAGGAAAATAACAGTGTATCACCCTAGTAACCAATCCTTTTCTACACATTTTCATCCATATTTATTGGTACATTATTGGACTCTAACTTCAACAGTTTTCATTAATATTTTAACATATTTTTACATATTGCAACCGATATAACTGAAGTTTTGGAGTTCCTGTGGACTAACTAGGAGAAGGCTTGGGAACAATCACAGGAAACCCACAAGTATTTATCTGCTGAATAAGCTTAAACAACTTGCATCGGAGAAGCTTTTCAATCGGGCCGTTTGTTTCAAATAATACCTTGATTTGAAAGTTCCTTTCTCACTTTTTCAAAATCTATCTCGCAGCATATAGGTGCTGATAATCCTTGCCCCCACGCACCCCCATAAAAAAGGAAAAACGCAAACTTGAACAGCACAAGATTGAAGCGAATTGAACCTAGATTTACATAAATTATCTAAGATGGCGGTTTTCCTTATTTGTGAGAAAAGCATGCAAGCCAGGCCGTTCTCCGATACAAATCGGTCTTCAAACCTTTATTTCCATCAGTGTACAATATCTTTTTTATTTGCTTCAACAATAGGAAAGGATAAGAGGAGATGTGAGAGAGGTCAGAGAGGGAAGGTTGGGGGTAAGTAAATTGCTAAGACAACAATGTATTTCTCCAACYATTCCTACATTAGTTGTTCTTACTCTATTTTCTTTTACATAGATTTAGTTGTATATTCAGCAAGCTAAAACAAAAAACAAAATAGATCAATTTTCAAACACCGTATTTCACATGTACCAATAAATTGGTAATGAGCAAAAACGAAAGTGTTTTGAGTTTAAACTGCAAGCTGCATGTAATAGTCGACGTTTGAATCTTTAATCTCCTCAATTATCAAAGGTCTTTTGATATAATTACATAAATAACGAGGGAAATTCTCTACTTGATTCTAGTTTTCTGGGAGGTTTTATTAAAGGGTGTTCAAAGCAGTTATTTGGGGTTTTGCTAAGAGTTATTTGAAGGGGGTCTGTACTCCCTTCATTAATTTGGGATATGTGCCATCTAGAGGAAACNCGCAAATGTTATCTGAGACTAGGCATGACGTCAATAACATGCCATGTATGGTGAATTGAGCGGACATCATTATGTCTATGACGTCATAGTTTCTTTGACGTCATTGATGATTTTTAACAAAATGACGTCACTTATCTACCTAAGATTGACGTTTCTTTCCATCTTGATTGGAATAATAGGTGATTATTTGTCATTTGCGGTTAATAAATCCACTTAGTTTAATGATCGTATTTGATCCAAAGTGTAATTTTTGGCTTTGAGCGATGTCAAACTGCTGCGTGACTTGCACGGAAAATTTCTCAGGGCTAGTATCGATGTAGTTAACCCAATCGCCTTGTAATGCGTTTGGCATTGCTGCTGAACGCGTTTTGGTGGTGATTCAAACGAGTACCTAGATAAAAGGTCTTAGTAGCTCCTGAAGTGTTTGCGATACGATAAACCCTACTTTGGTCACGCACATCAGGTCACGCAATTCAACTTGGTAACCTTTAAACTTGCGATATGTATAAAAATGCTCCAAGCTATCAAACATTCGGCTGATAACCAATAGTTTTTGAAGAACATGTTTGGCCATGGCYGGATAATGACAAGAAGAGTATAGTAGACGAGGTTAAACGATGGCTGCGAAGTAATACATGGTGAATATGGTGAAATATGTTGGGTGAAGCAAAACCGCCAGGCGATGTTGATGATAGATGGTGAAACATAGGAAATGATGTCGAACTAAGCAGACCRATGCACCTTACCAAGTACTATAAGTACAAGGTGATAGACTACGGTCGACTATGGTAGCAGGTGATTGCAGCGAAGAGCTATGTAGACAACGTACCACCATAGYACACTATGGCAAACGACGCCTYTTGATKCTCATTTTCTTTCATATAGCACGTARTGGCATATGCACTTCGGGATCACGCTGCCTGTTATAGCAAATTATAACCTTGATAACAAGACTACGCAACTGCTTATCAACAAACGAATAAACCAAGGGATTCARTAGAGCGTTGGTATATGCCATCCACTTCGTTATATTTGCAACGTCCATGTGGATTTTGACTTTGTACGCGTAACAGACGCTCAGGATTAAGAAAGGCGCCCAACAGAAAACAAATGTTCCTATGACAACGGAAATGGTTTTGGCGGCCTTGAGGTCACGTGATACTCTCTTAAACTTCTCTGAAGTTTCCTGTGAAATACTAGATCTYCTTACCATCTCTCGCGCATGCTTTCTAGCCACGCAGAAGATTTTACTGTATGTGACGACGATGACGATCAGCGGGAGAACAAAGCTTGCCATCAACACGAATAGAGCGTACAATGCTAGGGAAAAATAMWAGGGATAAATATGTTAGACCTACGACGCAATCACAACAGAATGTAACACAATTGCAAAGCGATCACATGGCTTAACCAGAACGCTACGTAGTTATAAAGCAAATTTTGTATTTTTATTTATAATTGTACTTAGTTACGTTTTTAACTTAGATTTTGTATTATTACTTAGCTAAGATTTAAGAAATATAAAACGGCGCGCGTGTCTCAGCTGTCCTCTGATATAAACACGTCGGGAGTTCGAAAAACACGAGAGAAGCAAGCTTAGGAACACGTGCGTAGCGAGTGTTTCTCTTGCTTCTCGAGTGTTTCTCAACTCCCAYCGTGTTTATATCAGAGAACAGAGACACAAGYGGCCGTTTTATATTTCTTTTATAAAATTTTTCGAGCGAAAAACAAATTTTGCCGGTAAGCCGTGTCTCTGTCCTCTGATATAAACACGATCGTCAGCCAATCAAAGCGCGCGTTATATATCGAAAATTTTATAATTAACAAATAGATCTCATTTTTCCGTGCGTGTGTACTCTAATAGATACACAGATGACGTCAAAATGTAGTGAGAACAAAAAAGTACTGTTGTTGACTGTTGTTCTCACTACAGTACACACGCACGGAAAAATGAGATCTATCTGTTTTATACAACAGACAATTAGTTTTGACGTAATCCGTGTATCTATACTTTGATAACACACGAAAGCCAACCAATCAAAACGTCTGATTTTACTGAAAAGTTGTATAAATTGTAATATGCCACGACACCATTGTAATTTACAGCGACACCATTTTGTGCAGCAAAGCATAATTATTGTAGTTGCASTTTTAGTACTTTTTGACGTCCGTGAAAAAAATCCTTCTGAAATGTCTCTGTTTTTTCTCAGCCTAAATAAATGTTTGTTTTGCCGTTTCTATAAGCAAAGCTTAAAAAAGGCWCAGTTTTAAGGAGATATTTTAGTGTTTATAATAAACGTGAGATTTATAACTACCATCATKTGATTTTCTCTACAATTTCTCTAACAGCACTTACTATTACTTTGACCTCCTCTCATCGGTTGTCTTAGAAACGCCACGGTCCCTGCATAACACCACACAGCTATGATCATCACGAATGCTCTTCGCCACGTCATACACCTCACATAGGTCAGCGGTCTCGTGATGGCCAGATACCTATCGACACTAATACAGCTTAGACTCAGAATCGATGCAGTGCCGCAGAGAATGTCGGTACTACTCCAAAACAACATAAACTTCACTCCTAATAGGGAACTCAGCTGATGAGGTTGTGGGAAAATCTGATAAAGTACCCACACTGGCATACTTATTACAGCAATGAAAATATCAGCRATGCATAGATTGACTATGAAGTAGTTTGTTAGCGGACGTATTGAGTCGAATCGCAGCGTTGCGAAGCATACGAAAACGTTGGCTACAAGTGTGCAGATTATAAGTATGCACGTAAATGTTGCGGCAGTTATTGCAGACGTAGTTTCTTTTGGTATTAGAGGTGGTTGTCCTGTGTTGTTGGATAACATTACCGTTCTATTCATTGCTTATTATTGTTATTAATCAGTTTATCTTTTTGTGGTACTCTTTAAGTGAAGAACTCAGTTTGCTTTATGTTTCTCGTACTGGACGCCAAATTGTTGTCGTATTGTAAGCTTAATATCTCTTGGTGCAAACAAGTTGACAATGGTGATCACTTTCGCTGTTTAATGGAAATAGTTCATCCAATCTAGCTTTTCTCGAAAAATAATCACTCTTTGTTAACCGACTGAATCATTCTCTAATGTGTTACAAATCTTCCTTGGCAATCTCGACAAACTTATTCACCATTTCATAGCACTTTGTCCAAATTTGACGATAACCAAGTTGTTCTTCTTATGGAGAATAAGGAAGCGATTTTGTTCCTGTTTGCTAGAATTGTCAGTGTTAAGTGATGATGGTATGACTTTTGTCAATGGCAGTMCTTACATAGGAAGGTAGCCTTGTAATCTTGGTAACTCTGTTTAGGCGTTTCTACATTTGAAATGATAGATTATGGCCACTACTTGATTGAAGGCAATGGCTGTTTGCACACGATATTGTACGACTGATGTTTAGTATCGTTTCGTACACTTTGCGATCTCTTCCGTTCGTCTGCACGCTTTACCACTGAGCGATATATTTCTCCAGTGAAGATTGACTATTATTTYCTCTTTTACAGTGGAATAGTTTTCCTCTTGAGATACAAATCAGAAGCTTGTAATGTCTCTTTTGAAAATKTCTGTTTTTACTGGACACACAAATGTTTTTCCTCGAAGAAGAAGTTTGCTTTTGGTCCTTTTTCAACAGACTTTGGCTAATGAATTGTGTTTTAGATCTCGTGTTGCTCGTCTTCTCTAGAGATGGAATATATATTCTTCTTTTTCCACAGAATTAGCGATAGATTGCACTTTTCTTGGTGGTTTCCTTAAAACATCTTCCCAAGTTGTARACTGGCTGTTACTCCTTATATACTGTGGCTCGAAGGGTTCAGTTCGTGTCATGCAGGCGGAAGTTCTCCTTCCAAATAGCTTTTTTATTCAGGTTTTGACTTCCAGCTAAGCTAATTGATTTTAAAATCCATTTTCGTCCCTTTTTATTGCTTCCTTGGCGAAAAGTGTTGACAAACTTCTAATGATGATGACTTTTAGTAAGACTTCCTTTCAAATGTTCATCTATAAAGGCTCTGGAATAATTACAGGTTAAAGTCAATAGGTTATATCTAAATACTCCGCTACAGAGGACTAAAAGGATGGATGATTTGAATCTGTATATACTGTATTAGGATGAATTAATAATGCGCTCAAAAATTCAAACTATTAACAATGTAATTAAGAGTAAACTTTTTACTAGATGCGCTTTCTAATTTAGATATATAGTTAAAGCTTAACGTCAAATGCAGAGCATTAGCTACAAATTTACAAATAGTGCAGACTTAGTGGCGCCTTTAAACCCTAAAATTACCCCAAAATGTGTCAGTAATTATTTCAACTGAAATGAGGAATATTTTTGTTAGGATGTTTAAGTTATTTCCACACTAAAGTAATGATGGGAATCACTTGAATCAGGCTTATAAGATTATAGAAATCCTTCGTTTTAACAGAATTACTCATCTCTCTCAATATGGCGGGGATTTTGAAACTCATTAAAACAAAATGGCGGCCCTGCGTTACATAACACAGCTTGAATGTTGCTTTTATGTGGCGCAGCGAAATTGATCATTTACATAAGCAAAGGCCATTTTTAAACGCTCTGTTCATTTATAAATTGAGAGTTGAAAAATGGTGGTACTTCTATAGAAATATAAATTGTTACAAATAAAATTGCAGTCCTTTTTGTAGCGTCTAATCTCGCTTTTGCATTTCTACATTCATTACGAAAATTCTTGTACCATTCAAGTGGATTTAGCTTTTTTAAAGCTACAAAATCGCTTATGACAAAATCTCTCAAAACAAGATGCAATATTGACCAAGGGGGGATGGGACAGTTATGAGATAGGATCGAAAGTAAGCAATCCATTCTAAGTTCAAAGATATTTTGGAGACAGTATAAACAGGAGGTTATTTATTTTGGAATGATAGTTGTAAATGATATAAAAAAATCTGAATGGTGGATGTGGATTTTGTTTTAGAAAAATACTAGAATGTTGATAAAATAGTATTGACGGATAGAAAGAAAAATGAACGAGTTGCAATTCTTCCTTGTTATTTTTTGATTGACAACAGCAGCGCCTCGTGTTGTAGGTTTTTTTTAGGTCTTGTTAATCCTCGAGTCTAATTATTTGATCATATGATCTGTACGTGCAAACTATCTTGCGCCACTATAGAATTTTAGTCAARCAACTTGTATATTCAAATCTAAAGAAGAAAGCGAATAAAATGACCAAAAGACATTGAGATGAAAACCGGTTGTAGAAAYAGATAATGAAACTAAGGAAAGATAGGTGAAAAAATGAGTGAATGGTGAAAAATATGGGAWTTTATGTCAAATATAATGTATTAATTATAAACACATTGACAAAAMCAATAGCGAATTTGAAAATAAAACWAGCTATGAACACGAATGCTTTCAGATTTGAATGTTTAGAGAGTAATCCTATACTAGCAAATGCAAGGATATCCTAACAGTCACAATCATTCCTGTATCGCAACTTTGGAAGGAAAATTGATCATGTAATACAAGTTCATTGAGTAAAGATCTATAAATAGCAAAAACAGTTACCGAATCATTAAACTAAAATATATTTATATACAACAAATTATGAAATAAATTGCTTTATGTAACATCGATATTTCACATAAACATCATCTGATTCTATCTTCAATCGGACAAAATACTCCCACTTTTTACCTTTATAATTTCTTTTACCTGCGGCCTTTTCTTTATGATAATACACACTCTAAAAAGCAGGAGCTTTAATAAAACTAACCTTTGGAGAGGAAATGATTTTGCACTTTTGGAAGCTTACGATTTTTTAATGAGATCATCGGCGCGCGCTAAGTTCATTTGAAAAACACAGCATGATTGGTGAGGCGGTGAAACTTTGCAGGGATTATCATGATCTTGGGAGATAATATTTCCTTGAAAACCACCCATATCTTACGCAAAGCTTTTCATCTTAAATATGGTTTAATGTGCAATCTTGTGATCTGTGGTATCGTGTCAAAACTGGTTTATTCTTAATGGTTGAATGTATGATATCGTAATGTATGTGTTAATTCCTCTTATGACGGAAAATATAAAAGACTTCGACTTAAGTATTGTATCGTTTGTATGCCTTGCGTTTAACATTTGAATTGAAAAAAATAATCATATTTCACTAGAAAACAGAATGGGATTCCATGTTCTGTAAAAAGTACGGAAAACCCTTAATAGAAAATTATTCAGGAGTGCCATTTCCGTTAAAAAGCTGCATTTATTGTATTTTTTTCTTTGAGTATGATCAAATAAATTCAGCTCTGTAATTTTGTTCTTTTTTATGGTATGAAAGTCAATATTTCCATARCGTGTGTGTATTTTATAAGTTTTTAACTTTGTGAAATAGCCTTCTGTTATTTTGTCTCTACGTTCATCGCCGTTCGTAAAAAGATAAACTTTTCCATGTAATTGTAGAGCCACGTTTAGGGATTGACGCTCATCTGCTTTGTCATTAACCATAAACACATTTTCAGGTCATTAAATGGTGCTAACTTGATATCTACGGAATTTGAAATCATACATGATTTGAAATTAAAAACGACGTGTATCGATTTCCAGATAGAAAATCTTACTCCTCAATAACTGCGATGGTCTCGTGAAATACAGTCAGAAATCAATATCCAAAAAAAGAAAAAAAAAATCAATGTTTTCCATCTATTTAAACAAAATAAACCCTCATTATTGTCGCGTTTTTAGTATAAAAAGTATCGTTCAGTATTTCAATTTTTTGTTAACGCTATAGGGGTACAAAAATACGCGAGTGTGGCATTCCCGATACTCACTGCATACCAAAACGTCCTCGAAAAAAACTAAAGAATTTTACCAATTGAAAGCTGAACAAGTGATTTGCGTGTACATTGTGGTTACATCACGTAGCTTCAATATGACAGTTATACACTAGCATTTTTTTTACTCTTTCCATTCCTTTGTTAAAATATTTTTTTTATCAAAGCTGTCCGGTAAACACTAAGTTTTTACAAAGCAAGATGCTATTTTGGGTTTCAAAACTCAATGAAAAAGATACCAAAGGAGCGACAACAACAATGATATCGTGGYTGAGCTGAAGTAGGTTCGCAATGACAATCTCAAAAAAACACAAGCCTCAGTCCAATATCTGTGTATATCTTCACGACGCAGTTTAATGGAAATTTCTAAGAGATATGCACAGGTGCTTCAATACATTACAGAATAAGTTGATTTATAATGTTAAACGATAGCAGCTTCAAATCGTATATAACAATGTCCTTAAATCCCTAAAAACGCAATATATTCCGCTACTCTCATTCGAAGAGTAGTATAAAGTTGTCATATTATCAAAATGCTTTACACATCATGAAATATACATAATTAAATATGAAAACATTTTTTCTAAACAAACTTTAAATGTAGTAAACACAATAATCTCTGGAGAAACCGGACGTAATCAGCTGGTCTCGGCAATATAGAACTGAACTCACAGCTTAATTTTCTAAAACAGCATTCTACCTTAATCAAAAACATCCCAATAAATTTGCACACAAGGCAGAAAAGACAATGATCATTGCATAGACCGGACGTCATTTTTTTACTTGAATTGATTTCTGAGAAAACGCAAGCTCAAATAATTAAATATCCGAAAAATCCAAATAGAATTGAAAAGTAAGAAAAAGTAATGATCTTTCGTGAAATTGGACGCAAGAAGTTTTAGATCTTATTTACTATTAAAATTCTGAGACTAAATTTCTAAGAAAAAAGCATAACAAGTACATAATTGATTCATAAAAATCATCCCAATAACTTGGTGAAAAACTCAATGAATATTGGTCATCAGTGCTGTAGTATTCTTAAATTTGAATTTCTCGGAAACTTCGTGAAATTGAAAACCGAAAATCCRAAGTATCCAAATCTACTTGAAAATGTAGATACAATGACGGTTTAAGGAACCGGGCGTAACTTTCGCGTCTTACCTACATGGGGCTCTTACAGTTGTAGTCGAGTCTCGTAGCATTTACTCTCAACTCCAAGACAACGTTTGGCAAGTTAATTTGAATTTAAGRRGATTGCTAAAACCGCGTCACCGTTACTACAGAAACGAGCTCTTCTTGCCCCAGGGCCTCTCCATCTCATGCAAGGTTACCTCATAGAACGTTGAAACCTTTTTAAATTTAGAAAAAGTCAAGGATTTTGTTTGCTGTTAGGAGGAACTGACTTCCTTTGTGAAGTCTATAACGACTTTAACGGAATTATACATATTTTAGGGACAGTTRTTAGATGAGGCTCAGTAGTATTCAATGTCAGTCAAAAGAATCACTAAGTTCGACTCTTGTTCCTCTGAGATTCTGAGGTTGAAGGACCAGCCTAAAGCTGATGCAGTCCGGCTCTGTACAGATAGCAGTAACTATATATAGCGATATTTCCATTTTGTAACTAATTTTATGAATACAATGGGGACGTGSTCTAGTTTCTAAGTATAATTGGCAGCGTTTCTATAGATAAGCACTACTGGCAAGTGGGTATTCAGAAAATGGTTTTGGCAAGATTTAGAAATACCCGAGGATGTTTTATCACCAACCAACGGATATATGTTTCACTCTTTCTTGGAAACTTTAAACCATATTAATAGTCTTTTGACATGATAAAGCTAACAGAAAACTGCACTTTTTTTCTAAAACTTTTTTTAAGATTCAAACTTAACAATTTTACTATAAAAATTTAATCCTGTTTCGTATATGACAGTTTTTGATGATGTTTAATAGTTATGAAACTTCAGGCTGAAATCTCCATATTGCCATGATAAGTCTTTGCTGTGTTCTTATATTTTATTGGCAAAACTCTTAAGAAACATTTAAGCGTTGCCTAGTAACTTCCCCGAACTYACAACGGCGAACGTGATCAGATGTTCTAGAATTCTTGCTTTTTGTTCTTGGAAATTGTTTTGATTCGATTTAATGTACCTCTTTGTATATAAACATGGGAAAACTGCTTTTATTTGGGTAGAGATAGCGACGA